AATAAATTTTATACCATCATTTGTCAATGCTTATTCATGTATTATATATAGAGTCTTGTTTGTAATGAAATAACACTCATTACTCTGTATAAAATAAAACAAAAAACGATGATAGAAGATCTGTTAGACGCGCGCGCGTCATAGTATTTTACATCAATTCATAAAATTTCTTTTTCTCTTTGTGTGGCTTTTTTTTATAATTTCATAATTTTTCCTTGTAAAATATGCGTAATAAAAAAATAAACTAAATAAAAAAGGAGAATATCATTTTTTTCAATATTTTATCAGATTGTGCATTATACATTAATTGTTTGCTAATAAAAAAAAAAAATTTAATAAATATAAAAGAATATATTCTCTTCGGTATCATTCTCTCTTGGCACACAATAAAATTATTGATAATTATTTAAAAAAATAAAATAGCGACATATCTTCTTTAACATGCGAAAAATATTTAACATCGACGATCTAATCATGCGACATTACTATACTTCATATGTATAAGACGAAAGTGGAGCACCATGTGTATAAAAACATCCTCACACGATTAATATTAATATCACACATCAATAATTTGAATAATTATACTGTCAATCATGTAAGAAATACCGGAACAAAGTCGTTTCTATTGGGCGACAATAATTGCATCAGTGCAATACTGCTTATAATAAGCATAATTTAGCTATCAATAGCTGGTAGCAGAATAATAAGTGTGAGAATCTTTTAATACGGGAAACGAAAGCAAAGGCAAAACATGTAGATATAAGAGTAGAGAAAGCAGCATTAGCAAATAAGAAAGCAGAGACTATCTCTCATCAAAGTACGTGAAACCTGAGAGAATACGCCTATTTCTCGAGAACTTTGCGGCGAATTCCGAATTACATGGCGCTTCTCTTAATAACCTTGCAATAATTAATTGTTGCCGTTAAATACAGTAAAGCTTCACTTAATTAAATTCATCGGCAATGTTATAAATATCGTAAATAATACGTATCAAGAAGCTTATTAATCCATTGATAATTTATATAATGCAAAATATGAAAAATATGGCGTAAAGTACAAAATTATTCACAAAGTATCGATTCGTAAGTAGCAGTATTTATTATCAATATAATTTTCTCAGAAGAAAATCAATTTAATTGTTAATATCAATTAGCTTTTTGTAATATTAACCCTTAAATTAAATTTTTTGTGAAGCAAAAATTCATTAAAAATTCAATATCCAATTATTAATTTTAACTTGTTCAAGTTCCTTATCAGCGTTAACAATTCATTAATGACGTTTCAGATTAAATTCTTGCTAAGACAAGAAATTATCAAGTGAAAAAAAAATCCAGAAGAGCATAAATCTTCTTCGGGACACTCATGTGGAAATCACGGATAAGTTAGAATGTGCAATTAAAAAAACAAATTTCGATTGCTCAGGCATCCAGTACTTTCGAGAGTAGTGAATTGTAACAAAGGATTAAAATAGAGGATGTAATATAGAATGAAGAAGAAGTAAGACTCACCGTGCTGGTGAAGCGATCAGGGATAGGGCTGTTTATTTTTGTTTTTGTGTGCGATTGTGGATGTGTGGATGTGTAGTTGGTGATGGTTGATGACTGGTCTGAGAAAGTCCGCGTCCGGCACTCTTGCTCCCACGGAGAGCCCAAGTACCTAGATACGTTTTCTGAACCTGCTATGGGATAAAGGGATGAAGCGACATACGCGTGACAAGGTCGAAACGATTTGTATCTCTCCGTTCATATTTCACAAATAACTCGATTTCCGTCTGACGTTCTTGGATCAAGGAAGCTTTCCTCGCTTTTTTGAATTATATTGTCCACACAGGATATTTTGGGAAGTACGATTATAAAGAACATCCAATTGACATATCGACATGTAATTTTTTCTTTTATTGAAACAAAAATAATGAAGAAAATATCTGCTTCGAGTTAATAAGAAATTAAGTTATAGTTAATATAACAAGTTATTTAAATAGTTAAGTTTATTATACTAAATATTTTGATATTGAAGAAATACAATTCTATTTCCTTCTCAGTAGTGCTGGTAAAGACGGAACTTGCAAAAGAGATTGCATACTCGTCTCTCGCATGAGACTTCAACGGAATTATGGATCGAAGTAGAATTGTTGATCGCACGTAAACAAGAATATTGAAATGGAGAGAGTAGATCAGTGATATTCGACTTAATGCTCGAATAACCCGATCAAACTGACTCATGGCGTTGATGAGTTCTCGATAATACACGAGAAATCAGTAATATCCAGCTAGGAGATGTTTGCATTAAATCATCAAATCCCTAAGAGTTACTATCACGTGGTGGATTAACTACCGCTGTCCCAGTATGATCGCGATAACAAATAATTGTACCAGAATCACGCTGTCACAAATTTACACAGTTGTAATGTCGTTTTTTAATGTTTTCCATATTTGTTTCAACCCCAAGACAGAATAAATAGATAATTCAATTAAAAAAGACGATGAAAAACATATTGTCAATTTAACTGTAATGCGTTTTTGAAAAATAATGCTTTGATAAAGATGGTATGACCTGAATAATCGTGAATATGTATAACAAAAGATATACATAAATAAAAATAAAAAGATTATATCCGTTCTATAAAACATATAATATGCATCTTAATAATTTTTGTATTTTTATATCTTCCCAACATCAGAATATAATGATTTGTTGGACTGGAAAAGATGTCGCAGCGAGAAAATTAGTTTCAGCGGATAAGCTGTGAATTACAAAAGTCAGCAAATACACACACGCATATTTGTATTATTTATCTTAACAAGAAGGAGCGAAGAGTCGAAAAACTCTGTTAAATTTGCATGTATGCAAATATACTTAAATGTGGAACGATCGAAAGTGAATTAGAAGACGCTTTGAGATCGCCAGTAAGTGCAATACAAACACATTTACAGAGTGCATCGCATGCATACGCTATACAAACAACAGCGATGTTTCGAATGAAACATCGTGATGCAACATTTCAAAAGCATCCAATAGAAACCGTTTATCTCGAGAAAATGTCTAAATAAAGCAAATACAATTTTGAAACACACTACTTAATATTTGACACTAGAATTCAATTGTTTAAATATATTTTTCTGTGCGATTTCCAGTTCTATTTATTATTATTCAAGATATAACATCTTATGCGCGATTGTTAATCGTGTGACATTTTATCAACAATTTCTGAAATATATCTGTATACCGATCTAAATTTAAAAATTCATAATCTAATTACAGGAATTCATATATACGTATTAAAATAACATAAATTGAGGTCATATGGTATTCGGAGGTTAGTAGTTAAAGGTTTATTGAATTATTCATAAGAAGCGAGAAAGCGATAGTACTTGCGTATGCAGCAAAATTAAATTAAACTTTATACCGATGTTGGCTGTTATTTAACATTTCTAACATTTTTTTTACTTATTCAATGTGACGTTTCTCGTTTATTATTTCAAGTTCTCTTTTTTCCTTTTTTTGTTTCGACTTTTTCTTTCATGTGAAAGAACATGCCAATTACTGGCTAGATTGTATACAATTGGATGCATTTCGAAAGATATAAAGTTAATGCACATTCAGAAGAGTTCATTTGTCATGCATTGTTATTTTTAAGAAATCAAATATTTGCTTGAATATTCAGTAATCAATTAGCGCTTAGTCAGATAGAAATTAATGAGAAATAAATGTCTTTATAAATAATCGGCATCTTTCAATAACATTCATGTAATTTGTCTTTGATAGACGCAATTCCAAAGCATTAATAAAATACCAACTTTAATCAACATATTTATTAAATTTTTAATCTCACGATATCTTTAAAGGAAAATTCGTCAAAGAGAAATTAATATCCTACATCGCACTATACATATAAAACACGAGCGAAAATCGATAATTTAGGTATAAAGTGACGAATTACATAGA